CATCGTTTGGGTTTTAGCGTTGCAAGACCATAACATTACCGTATTTGCACTCTGATCATCGTTTGGGTTTTAGCGTTGCAAGACCGTAACATTGTCGTATTTGCACTCTGACCTTCGTTTGGGTTTTAGCGTTGCAAGACCGTAACATTGTCGTATTTGCACTCTGGCCATCGTTTGGGTTTTAGCGTTGCAAGACCGTAACATTGCCGTATTTGCACTGTGGCCATCGTTTGGGTTTTAGCGTTGCAAGACCGTAACATTACCGATGACACACCGTTAGAAGGAGCTTTCCAGTGGGTTTCATATAAGTTTTCATAGTTTGGCAAATCATAAGTTTCATAATAGTTAAGTGCTGTTTTGGATATTACGTTATTGTGGTAGTGGTTCCCAATCTTCTACTTAGATCTTTGAGCTAGCAGAGTTTGGATAAAAAACTAAAGAATAGTGTATATTAACAAGGAGGTAAATGGAAAGAAGTAAATTAAGAGTGCGTGAATAATACGTGAATATTGAGTGTTGTCTAGTGGAATACATTGGTAACTCACTTACCGAGAAGTAAATGAAGAGCGAATCAACAATAAGTGAATATTGAGTGTTGTCTAGTGGAATACATTGGTAACTCACTTACCGAGAAGTAAATGAAGAGCGAATCAACAATACGTGAATATTGAGTGTTGTCTAGTGGAATACATTGGTAACTCACTTACCGAGAAGTAAATCAAGGGTGCGTGAATAATACGTGAATATTGAGTATTGTCAAGTGGAATACATTGGTAACTCACTTACCGAGAAGTAAATGAAGAGCGAATCAACAATAAGTGAATATTGAGTGTTGTCTAGTGGAATACATTGGTAACTCACTTACCGAGAAGTAAATCAAGGGTGCGTGAATAATACGTGAATATTGAGTATTGTCAAGTGGAATACATTGGTAACTCACTTACCGAGAAGTAAATGAAGAGCGAATCAACAATAAGTGAATATTGAGTGTTGTCTAGTGGAATACATTGGTAACTCACTTACCGAGAAGTAAATGAAGAGCGAATCAACAATACGTGAATAATTGAGTTTGTCTAGTGGAATACATTGGTAACTCACTTGCCGAGAAGTAATTCAAGGGTGCGTGAATAATACGTGAATTTTACTTCTCGGTAAGTGAGTTACCAATGTATTCCACTAGACAACACTCAATTGAAGAGCGAATCAACAATACGTGAATATTGCGTGTTGTCTAGTGGAGTACATTGGTAACTCACTTACCGAGAAGTAAATGAAGAGCGAATCAACAATACGTGAATATTGAGTGTTGTCTAGTGGAATACATTGGTAACTCACTTACCGAGAAGTAAATTAAGAGCGCGTGAACAATACGTGAATATTGAGTGTTGTCTAGTGGAATACTTTGATAACTCAGTTTTATTTTTTTGGGGGTGGTATGGGGGTGGGGGTGGAAGTCACCCCACTATGTGCATCTTTCAGAGCATTTTTAATTTTGTATATGTTCGTTTAATTAATTAATCAATAAAACAGAAACAACGTTATTTATCTGAATCTATTTTACCTTATTTATACTCGGTTGCATTTTTACAAATGCAAAAATTGCTCACACTAGCATAAACACGCTTATATAAATGAGTTTATCTGTGTATCATCTTCTCTGTAGCTTACACTCAATAAATACAACAGTTTAACATTACAACAAGCGGTATTTGAAAATTGCAGGTTGCAACAAAGCCAACAACTGTTTGGTCAGCATTATTTGGTTCAAAGTCTGAACAACTCTTTCAATTCTGTGTTTTATAACATTCTAGAACTTCATTTTCCAGCCGAATCGTATAGTTGATTACAAAGTACATCAGCCAGGTGTCATTGTTTATATGTAAGCTTCCTTTAGAAAGCCCCCCCCCCCTTAACACAGCGGTATGTCTGCGGACTTACAACGCTAGAATCCGGGTTTCGATACCCTTGGTGGGCAGAGCGCAGATAGCCCCTTGTGTAGCTTTGTGCTTAATTACAAACAAACAAACAATCCTTTAGGAAATCGTCAGAAGAACGTAAAATCAAACCTACTTTGTTTTTGTGGTATAAAGGTTGGAGACGGCTTGAATGGATTACAGTTAATCAACCAACGAAACAATGATTACAGTTAATTAACCATTGGAACAATGATTACAGTTAATCAACCAACGAAACAATGGTTACAGTTAATCAACCAACGAAACAATGATTACAGTTAATCAACCATTGGAACAATGATTACAGTTAATCAACCAACGAAACAATGGTTACAGTTAATCAATCAACGAAACAATGATTACAGTTAATCAACCAGTGGAACAATGATTACAGTTAATCAATCAACGAAAAATGATTACAGTTAATCAACCAGTGGAACAATGATTACAGTAAATCAACCAACGAAACAATGATTACAGTTAATCAACCAGTGGAACAGTTATTACAGTTAATCAACCAACGAAACAATGGTTACAGTTAATCAACCAACGAAACAATGATTACAGTTAATCAACCAGTGGAACAGTTATTACAGTTAATCAACCAACGAAACAATGGTTACAGTTAATCAACCAGTGGAACAATGATTACAGTTAATCAACCAACGAAACAATGATTACAGTAAATCAACCAACGAAACAATGATTACAGTTAATCAACCAACGAAACAATGGTTACAGTTAATCA